GGGTCATTGGGTGATAGGCGTTTGTGTTAATAAATAATATTTTATTATTTAATAGAGTGGCCAGTAAGCACCCCGGGTCATCAGTTGATAGACGCTTGTGTTAATAATTAATACTTTATTATTCAATAGAGAGGACAGTTAGCGCCCCGGGTCATTGGGTGATAGGCACTTGTGTTATTAATATTACAATTTTTAATTTTCACGCGTCTTTGGCAATGCCCCTTCACTGCTACGCTGTCTGCTCGACGGACCATTCTCTCTAGATCGTATAGCTATATTTATGATCTAGGGAAAAAGTTCCGATATGGAATCCGCCTAACCCAACGCTGTCAGACACTGTTTGTTTACCTGAGGCGCAAATTAGGAACAGCGCTCCATTGAAAAACATCTAGAATGATTGGTTGTGATAAAAAAAAAGCAGTGCTGTAAAAGTAAGCTTTAGATTCTATTTGGCAAGTGTCCAATGCTCAAACATTACTTTTCTGCAAGTATTTGGAAATTAATTCATATTACTATCCCATTCTTATCAAAATCAATCGTCCTCAAAGTTTTGAATGGGGGCGTTATTTTGAGATTGCGCTTGACTCCAATATTGTTTAACGGCAACTCTTATTCATTTTACCACCAGCAGTAGTAATTGCACCATATAGCCAACGTGTGCTCTCTCTACATTTTTAGTATCTTAATTTGTATATCTTTTGTGTGTTTAGAGTACAGTCACCATTTTGAACTTTAGAGTACTTTCTGTTCAGTACTCGAGTCTTTTGTTTGATAAACTTGTATTTAATAAATAATAATGAGATTAAGTAAAAAAAAAAATGCGCTATTTTTTACCGTATCTGCAACTACAGTCACACTTATTTAAGTGACTCTGACAATAATTTATAGTTTAACTTATTTGAGAATTCTAATTCTGATAAGAACAGCAGTCACAACATTTTGCTACATAGTTCTTACACGTTTAGTAGGATATTTATTTTGTAGTTATAACGAGTTAGAATACTCAATGACATTTATTAACATTACTCAAAATAATTTCCACACAAAAGTCATATTTCCTTATAAAATATCTACTTTCTCTTATGAGGAAGAGGCAAGACTCCAGAAGCACTGGCTATGAACAAAGTTGTTATGCACATTTTTTCATTCTTGCCCACGATCTGATGGACTGATTTGGCCCCTTTTTTAGTTAACACAGTGTTATCC